ATGCCCGCAAGTTCCTGGAGCTGGGCCGACATGCCCCGGAGACATTGTTGGATGAGGGCCGAAAGGCCAAGAAATTCCAGTGGGGCCTCCGCCCGGCGATCAGACAGCACTTATTGGTGATGGAGCTCGAGACATATTCGGCAGTCCTGGCAATGGCGCAGATCATAGAAAGGAGCTTCGACACCCGCCCTCAGCTAGCGGGAAGTTCTCGACCCTCAGCCCCGCTCCGCAGGCCAGCGCCTACCATGCCTGTCCAACCCAGTAAGAGGCCCAGGCCTGCCATTCAGGCCCCTCCTCAGGCTATGGGGGCAGCATGTGGGAAGATCTGCCAGTACTGCGGCGGGGATCATGGGGACCGACCCTGCTACCGCCTCAACAACACCTGTCGCATATGCGGCAGTGCCCAGCACTATGCGAAGGAGTGCCCTAGGAACCAGAATCAAGGGAGGCCTCCAATCCAGGGCAGAGTTTACAACCTTACCCAGAAGGATGCCGACGCAGACCCGGACGTGGTACATGGTATGTATATTATCTCTGGCCACATTGCTCATATTTTGTTTGATACTGGTGCATCACATTCTTTTATTTCACATGTTCTTGCTTCCAAAATTTGTGTATCACCTGATAGACTTGATTCATTATTGTTTGCATCTACCGCTGGTGGGGAGACATTACTAGGAGAGGTTGTCTACAGGGCATGTGTCGTGGAGATAGCAGATAGGAAATTGAGGGTAGACCTGATAGGGTTAGACACATGAGATTTTGATGTAATCCTAGGAATGGATTGGCTAGCGGCGTATCACGCCACCATATGCTGCTTTAATAAAAAGATTGCATTTAATCCTCCCAACGAGGAGCCATTTACAAGTTAATAAAATTATTCGGTACTGATTTTCTCCAATGACAAATTCTTTTCTTCTTAATGCCCAGTGCCTTGATATTGTATTTTCCCTAACTAGGTAAACCCAAGAAAGAAGTTTGTATCCAAGAGATTCCAGTAGTCCGAGACTTTCCCAAACGTATTTCCCGATGAACTGCCCGGTCTACCAGGGAACAGAGAGGTCGAGTTCACCATAGACTTACAGCCAGGAACCCAGCCCATCTCGGTAGCTCCTTATCGAATGAGCCGTATCGAGATGGAAGAGCTAAGGAAACAAATCACTGAGCTACAAAAACAGGGGCTTCATTAGACACAGCATTTCCCCATGGGGTGTCGGGGTTACTTTTACAAAGAAATGGGATGGAACGTTGAGACTGTGCATTGATTATAGAAGGATAAACAAGGTAACAATTAAGAACAAATACCCTCTTCCCCGGATTGATGACCTTTTCGATCAGTTGCAGGGTGCACAGGTCTTTTCTAAAATAGATCTATGATCAGGTTACTATCAGGTAAAAGTGAGAGCAGAAGACATCCCCAAGACGACATTCCGAACCAGGTACGGACACTATGAGTTCCTGGTTATGCCGTTTGGGCTAACCAACGCCCCGGCCATCTTTATGGATCTAATGAACAGAATCTTCAGAGAATTCTTGGACCAATTTATCATCGTGTTCATCGATGATATCTTAGTTTACTCAAAAAGTAGGGAAGAGCATGCTCATCATCTTGCCCAAGTCCTACAGGTACTCAGAGAAGAGAAGTTGTATGCGAAGTTGAGCAAGTGTGGATTTTGGCTCGAACAAACCGCCTTCCTAGGACATGTTATATCGAAGGAAGGGGTGTCGGTGAACCCCGAAAAGGTTGAAGCGGTACTTGGTTGGGAAAGGCTGACAACAGTTAAGGAAATTCGCAGTTTCCTAGGGATGGCAGGTTATTATCGCCGGTTTGTCGAAGGGTTCTCTAGTCTAGCAGCTCCTCTAACCCGACTCACAAAGAAGAATGCAAGGTTTGAATGGAATGAGAACTGCGAGAAGAGTTTTTCAGAGTTGAAGAAGCGACTGACTACTGCACCAGTGCTGGCTCTACCGAGTGGATCAGGAAGGTACACAGTTTATAGTGATGCCTCCTATCTGGGCCTGGGTTGTGTCCTAATGCAGCATGAAAAAGTTATAGCATATGGATCTAGACAGCTAAAGAATCATGAGAAGAACTATCCTACCCATGACTTAGAGCTTGCTGCCATCATACACGCCTTGAAAACCTGGCGCCATTATTTGTATGGAGAGACCTTTCAGATCTACACCGATCATAAAAGTTTGAAGCATATCTTCACCCAGAAGGATCTCAACATGCGTCAGAGAAGGTGGATGGAACTCCTCAAGGACTATGATTGTGACATTCTATACCATCCAGGTAAGGGCAACGTGGTGGCCGATGCCCTCAGCAGGAAAAGTGCAGGCACCCTAGCCCATCTGATGGTTTCAGAATGTAGGTCCATTGGGGCTACACAGCAGGTTCGCCTGCGAGACCTGAAGAGAGTCACATGTTTGGGCCACCTAGCAGTCCAACCCGAATTAATCCAAAGAATAAAGGAAGCTCAGTCAGTTGACCCCGCCCTAGTAACCCGCAAGAAGAGTGCAGAACAGGGAGTGAGCTCAGAATTTCAGATCTCCGCCGACGGATTGATTCGTTTCAGGGACAGAGTGTGTGTCCCAGACGACAGTGAGTTAAGAAGAGACATCATGACAGAGTCCCATAGTTCAAGGTTCGCCATGCATCCAGGAAGTACGAAAATGTACCAAACTATGCGATCTCGGTTCTGGTGGAATGGGATGAAGAGAGATATAGCCGACTTTGTATCTAAATGCTTGGTATGTCAGCAGGTCAAAGCAGAACATCAACGCCCGGGCGGGTTACTTCAGCCTTTACCGATTCCAGAGTGGAAGTGGGAACATATCACCATGGACTTCGTATCGGGACTACCCAAGGGCACGATCGGGACATGATGCTATATGGGTAATTGTTGACCGACTCACTAAGTCTTCCCACTTCCTGGCCATCAGAATGACTGATCCTTTGGACAAGTTGGCAAGAATGTATATCCGGGAGGTAATCAGACTACATGGAATTCCAGTAACAGTGGTATCCGACAGGGATCCCAGATTCACTTCTCGGTTTTGGAATAGTTTCCAGCAAGCTATGGGAACAAAGCTGTCTCTTAGTACTGCTTTCCACCCCCAAACCGATGGACAATCAGATAGGACAATTCGTACGCTGGAGGATATGCTCCGAGCTTGTGTCCTTGACTCCGGGGGCCATTGGGACGACCACCTACCCCTGATAGAGTTTGCTTACAACAACAACTACCAAGCAAGCATCGGCATGGCCCCATACGAGGCGCTATACGGGCGTCCGTGCAGGTCGCCGATCTGTTGGGAGGAAATGGGCGATAGAAGATTGTTTGGCCCGGATTTGGTAGAAGAAACCACGTCCAAGATAGTTAAGATCAAGAAGAATATTCAGACAGCTCAGAGTAGGCAGAAGAGTTATGCCGATACCCGGAGAAGAGACCTGGCCTTTGAGAAAGGCGACCGGGTGTTTCTTAAAGTCACCCCCTTCAAGGGAATTAGCAGGTTCAGCAGGAGGGGAAAATTAAACCCCAGATATATTGGACCCTTTGAAATCTTAGACAAGATTGGTACCACTGCCTACAGACTTGCACTGCCTTCTGAGCTCTCCCGGGTTCATAATGTGTTTCATGTATCTATGCTACGTAAGTACAATCCGGACCCTTCTCATGTCTTGGCTCACGAACCGCTTCCACTCCGAGAGGACTTGTCTTATGAAGAAGTACCGGTCAGTATCACGGACCGAGAAAGCAGAATACTCCGCAACCGGGAAATATCATTTGTAAAAGTCATGTGGCAGAACCACACGCCCAAGGAGGCGACTTGGGAACTGGAATCAGAATTTAGGGCCCAATATCCCCATCTGTTTGATCAAGAGTAATGAGGCAAATTTGGGGACCAAATTTCTTTATGGGGGGGGAGAGTTGTAGCGCCCGGGACCGAGGAGGAAAAAAAAAAAAAAAAAACCACGTCAGCAGGCCCGGGC